AAGTCAATTTAAAAAGTTAATATAAAAAATGATTATTAAACTCTTAATTACAATGATAAAAAATAGACGATGAACACAGATTTGTTAATATAACAACCTGTTCTTTATAAACATTTCACTCACTGGAAAATATGTTTAAAAAATGCACTTGCAAAGTTTACTGTGATATGCTGAAAAAAATAATTGGAAAACACATAGACCAATGTTTCCCATGAGATTTTTAGATATCTTTATAATTTTTTCATATTTCTTTATAGATTTGATATGTTAGGCTTTACCTTTAAAATGCCAGTTTTATAATGAATAGAGTGAGCATTTGTCATAGAAATCACTAATAATATATTAGTGGAAAGTCCTAGACTTAATAAATTGTCTTGTACCCTTAAATACAGATTGATGTTCTTGTGTGCATTTTGACACTTTTGTTCAGTTGTGTAATTTAAGAATATTGCATTTATTTTAAGTGTATTTTTTGTCTGCAGTCCAAGTGACAAATAATTGAAGATGACTTTTCCCAAGTGATTATAATTCTTTCACCTCTTCTCACATCTTTTAAGTGAGATGAATTGGGCAATTAGTGGGCTTATATGGATTCTATTATGGAGGTGTTTCTCACTCTCTGTATTCCATATATTGTGACTACTCTGAGAGAAAGACCTCATACAGTTTGGCAGGGCACTTTATGTGGCCATTGAAACCTAATTTAGCAAGGCAGCACAAGGGCAAACTATTTTAGCAAATAATGTTTACTTTAAACAAAACTCAAGTGTAAAAAAAAATAGGTTCTAATTATTTCAAGTACTTTTATATATATATATATATATATAGTACATTCACATCAGTCCCTAACCCTCAAGGAGCATACAATTTAAGGTCCCTAACCTAACTCACACTCATACATACTAGGGCCAATTTAGACAGGAACCAATTAACTTACCAGCATGTCTTTGGAATGTGGGAGGAAACCAGAGTACCTGGAGAAAACCCAAGCAGGCACAGGGAGAACATGCAAACTCCAGGCAGCTAGTGCCGTGGTTGGGATTCGAGCCAATGACCCTAGTGCTGCCAGGCGGAAGCGCTAACCATTTAGCCACTGAGCTGCCCACAGTTCTAATGGTAGAATGTGCTATAACCTTATAACCAGTGATTCCTTTTTCTCTTAAATTACACTGGGATTATGATGTGGTCAGTTTAAATCCAAATGGTGTGAAGTGGAGTTCCTCTTTAAGCCTATTATGCTAGCAAAGATCCAGTAGATTTTATCAGCTGGTAAGAAACCACAGTTGCTCAGCATATTAGCAGTAGTGATATATGATAAAGATGATATTTCTGTATTTAGCTGATACTATGGCTAAGTTTGGCCATAGTTTATATAGTGCTAATGCATATACACAAAAACACAATCTCAAAGTATATTGCTACTGCAACCAGGATCTATGCCATGTTACTATGCAATGAGTTGACAGATAGTTGTCTTCAGAGTACTATGATACAAGAGAGCCATTCGAAAGCCTGAAATGTTACAATCTTGAGTTGTGCTACTTAAAAGTCCAGTGGTACCATTTTGTCTAAAGAGCATCTGGTCTTGGGACCCCTCTATGTCTACAATTTCATGTGCTTTTTAATAATAATCCAGAATAAAATTTAAATGAACAGTAATTTTCCAATTTGGGAATTTTCCAATCTGGGGAGGCAAATGATAAACCACTTTTTCTGTTTCCCACTGAGCAGCACTTAACTTTTGCAGTTATTTGTTCACAGGTTAGGAGCCATATGCCTGTTTATAGCTTCTAAGATGCAGCATTTAGTCAGCATCCAGGAGGTTATGACTCTCATTCTCTTGCCAGATAAGGAGGCTGATTTACTAAAAGAAGTATAAATCTTTTCTGAAAAAAAATTGTCAGAAAATGTTATTCCATTATAAAGTCATATGAACAGAAGATTCTCATTCACTTGGAATACTCAATTATAGCTGCTTTTCACATTATTAAATAATTTAAGTGAATATTACCGCAATTTTAAGTAAAGATTCTCAACCCCTTTAATAAACCAGGCCAAACGCCAGTTTTTCAGTTGGTGTAGTGGATTCTTTCAAAGAACATGAATAAAAAGTATGGTTAAAAGAAAAATGGTTGTCCTAAAAGTAGGTACCCCTTAGACAAGTATAGCATTAGACACAGGTCTACCATATCGGTTGCTTATTTTCTTCAATGTGACAAACTAATTTTTACCTGTTCTTTATATAACTGACAAGAATATTATACATGCCACAGTTATGCCTTCTTCATGAAATAACAATTTAGATGTTCATTAAGACAGATAGGCTATTTTTCTGCTATATATACCATTACAATAAAAGGTTGCTATTGTTTCTCAGCAGGCTTCTTATATTGAGTAGAATATAAATGTTTTACGTTGATTGCAAGTTGTCCACTTACAGAATAAGAATGGACAAAGTAGGGTCCACCCACTAAATTAGTTACACAGTCAGGTAATGGGACTAGCAATAATTTATTGCATATTCATTGGATATTTTCTTTTTAGTTGACTTCATAGTTTGATTATTTTCCATTCAAATTGTCAATTCAGCTCTAAACATCAACCATATGTCCCTTATCTGAAAATCACCTTTTGTTTGTATTGTTGAGCCTAGACTGCACATTGTTCATGTGTGGCTTATTCACATTTCAGAACAAAGGACAGCTAAGTCTGAGTTGTGCTATACAATTAAAGTTATACGCAACGCTAACTGCTTTCTGTTGTCAGCACTAAATTGAATATTCCACAATTATTGAATAATACACTACACAAAATATTATTATTATTAAAAATATATGAAAGTGGTCTAATTTTTATAGACAATAGAAATGTAAGTAAAGGTTCCAAAAACTTTGACAGATCTTGAAAATCTTGAAATGCTATAGGTGTAATCTTTCAACCACTTTCCCTCCAGAGGATTTACCCCCCTTCCTGACCAGGTCATTTTTCCCAATACTGCACCCAAATCAAATTTATGTCCTTTTTTCCCACAAATGGAGCTTTCTTTTTATGGTATTTGAGCACCTCTGCATTTTTTATTCTTTGAGCTGTAAAGAAAAAAAGACCAACAATTTTGAGAAAAAAAAACAATATTTTTGACTTATAGAGTTATAGAGTCCACAAATGGCAGTATATATACTGTAATTTTGTTTTTAATATATACTGGTAATGGTGCCGATTAGCGACTTATAGCAGGACTGCGGGACTGCAGTGGGCATTCAGACACTGGGGGGGAATTGACTGTCACTGACATGTCCAATGACACATACAATGATCAGTGCTAATAAAAAGCACTGATACTGTACTAATGACACTGGGCAGGAAGGAGGTAAACATCTGGGGCGATCAAAGGGTTAACTGTGCTGTGTTTTACATACAGACCTCTCCCTCGTCAGTGATACTCAGCGATCGCTGGGTGCAGGTAGGGAATCTCCAGCTGGGACCCAGTGATAGACAGCTGAAGCTGCCAATGGCAGTGCGGGTAGGGGGCGCACACACGCGGATATGCAAAATCACATATATATACATGATTTTGCACAGCCCTGCCACCCTGTAGCAGTATTTCTGCTATAGGGCAGTGGGCAAACAGTTAAGGTACCATACACCAATCATTTGCTTCTGAAATATATGGCGGCTATTTGAAGTTATCTTACTGGGTTTTTTAAAGCTCTTTTGTAGAGTTAGGAAAGCCATCAGATACGTGCTGTTCCAAAGTGCATAAAATAAGGCCTGGATAAATAGCCTGAATTAAAGATGGACACCAGATGGATTTAGTGCTGTGATATAAGCCTGGTAAACCACAGTTCACTTTGGCCAATCAATCAGTTTAGAAAGAAAAAGAAAAACAGAAGAAGAAACAAAATTCTATATTCTTTTTTTTTTGTACAAATATTTCTAATCTTTAGTAGACCCTGTAACCCTGGTCCATACAATTTTAATTAAACCTTCAAATCTTTCAGTTGTATGCTCGTTATAAAGTTAAAAGTAAAAGCAATAAATAGAAAGTATGTCTTTATCTAGCTTTGGAGTACATTTATTTTCTATTTTGTTCTAAAAGAGAGACAGGCATTCATATGGTGATAATTGATCTCAACGGAGAAATGTTCAAATGTTTTGTATTAAATGTTGCTTTAAGTAGAATAGGCCATTCAGCATTTTCATCATATTTTGGTCACTATTTCTTTTGTCTTTAAGAATGATACACTGCATTAGCAATACCTAACCTTGCAAAAGTAATGATAAAAACAAGTGAAATAAAAAGAAAACAACAGACACATATAATAGCAAGCAAAAATTGCAAAAATGTAAATTAGGACTTGAAACTATGAAAAAACATTCTGTATTGGATTACAATCCAGCACACTTGGAATTTTTTCTGATTTATAAAAAAAAAAAGTCACTAAAAGGGAGTAGTAATTTTGACAGTAAGGGGAACTGTGATTAATTATATGAATGAAGTTAGGGTTCACTACTACCATAAATTCAAGATGAATGCTGTAGGTTCAAATGTTATTGTCCTGAGAATGTTTTTCACAGATTCACTTGGAAGAGTTTTTTATTTTTAATTATGCACTGCTTGGATTTTGAACGTTGGCCAAGGGGCTTTGAAATGCCAGTAAGGGAGCTTTTGGATAAGCCAGACCCTTCACTATTAAAAGGAGGGGGGGCACAGAGCATTGTCACATTTGTAGTTCTCTTCTGTAGTAAATGTAGGCCTCTCATTGCTATTTAACCACCTTCCGCCCACCCTATAGTACAATGACGGGCGCAAGGTGGTTCTCTCGTTCTGATAGGATGTCATATGACGTCCTACCATTCTCACTGCGCATGCGCGGAAAGAGCCGAAGATGTCGGCTCGGTCATGTGATCAGCTGTGTCCAATCACAGCTGATCACATGTAAACACGGAAATGCCAGTTATCGGCATTTCTCTCTTTTCGAGCTGTCACGCTGACAGCTCGAGAGGAGAAGAGAGCCGGTAATCGGCTTTCCGCAGAGGGGACATGTACACTGATCATCAGGGCACTGATGATCAGTGTGCCCTGATGATCAGTGTGGCCCCAGAAGTGCCACCTGTCAGTGCTCATCAGTACCACATGCCAGTGCCCATCAGTGCCACATCAATGCCACATATCAGTGCATACCAGTGCACATCAATGCCACATATCAGTGCCAATCTGAGCTGCCTTTCAATGTCACCCATCAGTGCCAGTCACTGCCACCTATCAATGCCAATCAGTGCCACCTATCAGTGCTGCCAATCAGTGCCACCTATCAATGCCAGTCAGTGTCGCCTATCAGTGCCAGTAAGTGTCAGTCAGTGCCGCCTATCAGTGCCAGTCAGTGCCACCTAACAGTGCCAGTCAGTGCCGCCTATCAGTGCCAGTCAGTGCTGCCTATCAGTGCCGCCTATCAGTGCCGCCTATCAGTGTCATGTATCAGTGCTGCCTTTCATTGCCCATCAGTGATGCCTGTCAATGCCCATCAGTGCCACCTACCAGTGCCTCCTCATCAGTGCCCATCAGTGCCACCTGTCAGTGTCCATCAGTGCAGCCTATCAGTGCCCATCACTGCAGCCTCATTAGCGCACATCAGTGAAGGAGAAAAATCACTTATTTACAAAATTGTATAACAAAAACTAAGAAAAAAAACGTTTTTTTTTTTCAAAATTTTCTGTGGTTTTTGGTTTGTTTAAGAAAAAACTCCCAGAGGTGATTAAATACCACCAAAATAAAGCTCTATCTGTCTCAAAAAAATGATAAAAATTTCATATGGGTACAGTGTTGCATGAACGCGCAATTGTCATTCAAAGTGCGACAGCGCTGAAAGCTGGAAATTGGCCTGGGCAGGAAGGGTGTATAAGTGCCCTGTAGGCTAGTGGTTAAAATTGTCCTTTTTTTTGCAAATTTTTTGGGTCATTGCAAACATGAAAAATAAAAGTGATACAAAACAATTGTTCTGCTGTTGACCAATTGTACACTGCTGTGCCATCTATCATATCTTTATTTGTAGTAAAATAACTGCATGTATTTTTTTCTCATTAAAATGTCCTGTTGCTGGCTAATTTCACAGTGCTGTATCATCTGTGGTCTCTTACTTCTTAAAGTGGCAACAAAGGCTTTTTTTTTTTTTGTTGTGGATAGAGTGGAATGGGATTAGAACATCTGTTAGTTTTTATTGCTGTCTCACCATGTTTAGAGAGATTCACCCTGCCTATTTGTCATGTTTAAAGTTATCATCAAAAGTGAGAGTAAAAGAAATCCTAAATTTTGGATTGACATCAGAACAAGAATAAAGGGGAATAGTTCTGGTGACCCTGGTGATAGGCCAGGATCCCCTCACTTTGGTGGGATTTTCTCTCACTTCCTGTTTTGGCTATGGGACAGGAAGTGAAGGAAAATCTCTCCAATGGAACAGATTTAGCAAATGAAACAAAAAACTGGCAGGGGGTTTAACACTCCCTTACCCTATCCAAAAATGAAAAAAAAAATTCCTTTAGTGACACTTTAACGAGAACTGTTGACAGTGGCAGGATAGTTTTGCATCAGGGAAAACAAGGACCGCCACTGCAAATGAATGCTTAATTTCTATTTGCTGATACAGTTACCTGAAAGAGGCCTACTGAAATGAATAAGCAGCAGTCTGAATTTATTCAGATTGGAGTGCTGCTGTATGTAAAGCCTGGTGCACGCAGGCCAAAAATCTTTCAGTCCATATATACAGATGTCTGTTCAACAGAAGTCAGTCTAACTTTTGAGCAGGCATGCTGAAAAATCAGCATTCAGTCAGCACTTTCAATCAATGGCTGTGAGGGCCAATTAGTGTACTTGCGGCTTGAGTCCCCCTGTCAGAATACAATGTCTCAGCAGGTGAGATCTCTGCATCACATGCAATTGTGTTGATCTAGGGATCTAGGGTTGTGTTTTTTCACACAACTCACTGGCTGAATGAAAAAACCCCAGAAAAACCTGTATGTGTGTACCCGAGTTAAGCCAGGGTACACACATACAGGTATAAAAACAAAAAATAAATGTTACAGTCAGTGTACTCTGTTGAAAATTGTACTGTTCTTTTATTAAGTGTTCTTGCATGGCAAGACCACTTACTGTTATCTCACATATTCTTATTATTATAGCCAAATTTACCAGCCTAACTCCTCCCACGGTTTTTACACTACATAGACAGTAATATACCGAAACGTGCGGATTGTTCCCGATTGGTATGCTATTACTTTGTGGAACGTTTCGCCAAATGGTTCACGAAATATCGGCGTTTTTGTGGTGAATAGGTCCCATCATGTGGGAGCTGACAAAAACTAGAGTGTGAGCTGAAAAATCAGGACATGATTTCTAAACTGCCACCACTCCCTCATTTTCAAGCCCACCTACACAAATCTTATATCAAAACGTTCAGCTATCCCTGCTGCCACTAAAAATGTCCACGGCTAAGCCATAGTCCTGATAGTTTTCAAAACATTGCAATTAAATGTGCTATATAAATAATTAAAAGTTGAAATGCATTTCTCACTCTATCAAGCTTGCCATGTGCACTTTTTAAATTTGATCAATCAATTGGTTAGTGTAATGTTTACTATCTTTACTCACGCCAAACACTCCATACAGTTACTCTGCCCACTCCATAAAGTTACTCTGCCCAGTCCAACCTTTTCACAGTTACTCTGCCCACTCCAGTTGTAGACTACCGGTGGAAGCAAGAACACTTCACACAATTTCCCCAGAAATTGTAGCTTTTCTAGTTCCATGTACTGTTATAAGGCATACCCTAAGCATGCTATTTAAATAATTTGTGTATTTCTAATACTTCCCTTAAAGCAGAACTAAAGTCTCAATACTTGCCTGTTCAATGGTCATGCACTGGCATCTTCTCCCAAGTGCAGGTATTCTAACCTCTTTATTGGCTGGAAGGGGATGACATCACTCTTGCGCATGCGCAGGAGACAGTCATCTTGGCACTCGGAGACTGGCCAAGTACTGTAAGCTGAGCTGCACATGCATAGCTCAGTTTATAATGCCAGAGCAGACAATGAGCAGGCAGGTAGGGGCATTGTATTGCAGAAGAGACAGTGAATGTCTCTTCTGCAATAAAAGCCTGCATGCTGACAGTTTTTTACAGTGGGACTTCAGTTCTACTTTAAAGCCACACGAAAAGACCCTCTTGCTGCTGTTTTTGCATTGTGTTTGCATTGACGCACATCTCACATGAAAATGCCCACATTCCTATGCCATTTTTTACAATAGATTGCCTATTAGCCCCCAAAAATGACCAGAATTTAACGTGAGAGTCAACCCCCTTAGACTTCATGACATTCACCTCTAAGTTCGGATTTGCCGAATTTCAAACAAGATTTGCTGAAACCTGAAGAAGTCAAACCTGGACAGATTTGTCCATCACCATCACCAGTTAATTACTTAATAGTCAATTACTCAAAGTTCAGCAATATTCAAATGAAATATTGTAAAGCAATATATGGAATGGGGATAAGGAAAACTATCCCCTAGACAGTAAAACAGTTGAAAGCCTGTCTTTTTTTATGCTTATACATGAAAAGCTTAAATGCCTCACAAGTTTTGTAAAAACCAAAAGAGAAAAAATAAGATGGATTAGTAGGAAAATGAATTCCCACTCTGACAAACATTCCCCATTTTATCTTTAACTCACTACACATTATACATAAGCAACCATTTATAATTGTAGCTTGATAACATATAGCCGGTTGCTGACTTTATATAGAAGGAATAGAAACTATCCTGTTGCTGAATGTGCCCCTTCCCATATGTAAAGGGAAATCAATTTGGGAAGAAGAGTTGAAAAGAGTGGCAGGCAAGTCAAGAATGAATTGAGCAGATTTCTAATTGCAGGTCATTCTTAATATTTCAGAATTCTGTAAGTATTGTTTTGCTGATGCTACAAATTCTAAATGCTCCAAAACTGACTTTTAGATGTTCATCACTAGTATAGCAAGTACATATTTTATAATATCAGCCAGTCCATGCCCAGAAATCTCCACTGATTGATAACGTAAGGACGGTCAACTAGGGGCCAATTACTGGAGAGGTAATTTTAGACACAATTTCCTGATAAATGGCACATTTTTCACAACTTTTCTATCAGTGTGTTATAAAATCAAACAGCAAATGAACTGACAGATTATCCTATCTTTGTATATAATCATTGCATGATTTTTACTTTGTACTTTGCATTTCATGGCATAACCAGAAAATGGTCATATTCAATTCTGTTTTTCTATGTTTGTATGTGTACATCTATTTGTATAACCAGCTTTACAATTACATTCTGTTTACTGAGATTGCTGCTATCCAGTCCAAAGGAGGAGGGGCATTTGCAGGGTGTGTGTGTGCTTGTGTGATAAAGGAGGAGGGGTGACAAGACCCTCTCACCCATTCAATGATGATTAATGGGCAGAAGATAACAATTTCATGTTGTCAAACAAAAACCTTAAATGGGGAAATGAACGAGTTTTTCCCCAACCCACTGGTGCAAAGTCATTAAAATATGATAATGAAAAATAACTCAATTAAAGAGCCTCCCAGCTCTGACCTTCGCTCAATTACCAGACAATGCTTCTGCATAAGTGACCTAAATTTAGACTAAAGAATCTCATTACTCAGCGATTGTTGATGCGTGGGATTAAAGGCTACTTAAATATAATAACGAGAATCATTAATTACTGATAACTAATAAACACCCAGTTGCCGGACTGATAGAAATACAACAGACTGTTATGGTACACATGTTGCCAATTGGTAAACACTGTCATTTATGCATAACTTTGCTACATTGTAACAAAATATAAATTGAATTTCAATACAAAAAAAACAACAGAAGAAATATCTCTAAACAGTTGATGACCTCTAAATACCATGCAGCATGCATTCAGCAACAAATGTTTTCTACTATGCCAGCAAAATATGTGTGTGCAGGTTTTCTATGTAAAGGAAATTTTGTTTGAACATTGTTTGAACTTTTCTAGAAATAAGTGAACTACTTAAATGTCCTGCTGCTGACTCAATTTACAATCCCTCTGACTATATTCTTTTGAGGCTTTTTTAGTAAAAAAATTAAGAGGAAAAATAATTCCTATTAAACTCCCCATAATAACCCGCCCTTTTGTGACTTGAACACACTTCTCTGCATTAATTAAGTATTTATGGGGCGTGTCCAAGATGGCGACCGGACCAGCTTCATAGCTCGGTAACATCCAGGTAACAGCGGACCCGAAGAGACAGCGGAGGGGAGCCGGGTGACTTTTGCCCCCCCCCATGGCAGCAGATCATCGCGGTCTAGTGCGGCCTGCTGAAGCCGCGGTGGTCACTGGCCTCATGCCCGGCCAGGAGTCGGGAGAGTGCGGTTTGCGGTGGGAG